CCACCGACTTTTATTTCATCTAACAAAGGAAAAGATAAAAGAATAGAAAAAACCTTTTTTCGAGATGTTTCTGAATATGGGGGGTAGATTATAGAAAGGGAAGGTGTTAGCACCCTTTCTATCCGTGGTTTTCCACGGGCTCTTAGGTACTTGCTCATTTTGAAATTGCTTGTGTGTGTTTTGAAAATTTTTTTGTTTAACTTCGTGGCAACCCTTGTATCTGTCCTCAAGAGTGTGACAAAGTTGTTTTCGAAAACTGTTTTGAAAGTGTTTTTGTAAAAGAGTTTTTATTGTTTTGAGCAAGTACTTAAGATTTCTACCTACTCGAAAAAAAGACTGTTTGTTCTCGTTTCCTTTAGACAACTCTATCCTACTATTAAGGAGTAGGTAGCCCCATCGTTGGAGTTCTAAGGGACATTTGAAGGGACAATTATAGTCATAAAAGCAATGGTTAGGAAACCTTAGTAGTTACCCTAAAGTCCTAAAGATCTTTCCGAGGCAACATTCGAATGAGTCATTTTTTATCTTTCGGGACTGGAGGACAACCACTAAAATTCCCTATGCTTCATGATCGTTTACCAAAGGCAACCAGAGTGGGGCAAACCCTAGGAGTGAGCATGTGCAAGTGTGCTTTTCTTCATTTAATTATCTTTGCACAATTAGGGTTATCTACTGTTTTAATTTTATCCGTCTTTCGCATACAAGCCTATTATCTATGCATCTAGCAGTTTATAATAGCAGAAATTCAAAAGTGCGAGAAATTAAAGTCCTAACTATTACAAGGCCTCGGGGAAGGGGTTACATAACCAAAACTTGGGGAATGAAAACAGTAAATAGGGAATGATAGTAAATGACCTAATTAAACTATTACAATCTCGAAGCAATTACAGTAATTTAAAAAAAATAAAAATAAAGCGCGCGCGAAGAGGGACACGAGAATTAAATATCCTAATGAATCTAATTAATTAAAAAATATTTTTGTATTTTTTTATTGAGAAAAATAGTTGAAATCTGCAAATTAAACCTAATTTTTTAATTAATTTTATTTAACAAAATAATCAATGTTGAAATAATTAAAATAATTAATTTTCAAAAATTAATTTTAATTATAAGAAAAAACCTAATTCTATTTTTGTGATTTTATGATTTCTTTAAAAAATTGATTTTTTGTTTTTTTTTTTTGTAAAAAAATAGTTAATAAATAATTAAAAAAAACAAAAGAAATTAAGAAAAGAAATAATTGGGCCTGTTATTATTAGCAATCTGAGGGGGGGGTGGTGAAACTGAAATAGTACTAGGCCCAAGATGCCAGCCCAGTACTCAGCGTGAGATCCAAGGCAGTTGGCCTTTGGGGGTTCATCATGGTCTGCTTGCTTGGGGCATCAGATCTGTGATGGAGATGATCCAATGGTGTGGTTCTTGGGCGCATGATGGTCCTTTGAAGATGAGGCGCATGGGATCAGTAATTAAACATTGAGAAAAACATAAAAGCACACGCCTGGGATCGAACCCAGGACGTTAGCTTCATACACTCCTTCCTTAACCATCCATGTTGGGCTGTTAATCATGTATATAATTAAATAAATAAAACAAAAGGGAAACCAGGTGTTAGTGCTGAAGCAGCCATGACACACATGCCTTGTGGGGGGCCATGGTGACTCAAAGAGCCAATCAGGTATGGAGAGAGGAATTCATCGTTTGATCCAACCAATGGGATTATGAGGAATAGCCACATGTGCTTGGACCGTCGCCTGTAAAAGTCAAGCCACCGACCACGGTGGCTCCGGTTACCCTCTCCGGTGACACCCAAAAAAGAAACCTGCAAAACACGCGAGATCAAAGCATAAAAAAGGACCTACCCCCCTTAAAATTTCCCCAGGAATCCAATGGTGGTGTCCATTTTCCCTAAAAGTTCATGTATAGGGAGATACGAAGCTTGCAGTTCGTTATGCCCTAGCCATGGCAGATGGCTATTTAGCCATCAAAACTCATCAACGATTGCCCAGATCTGTTCGTTATCATCGTGTGATCATGTTAATGGGGTTAGAACGGATTGAAATATGCTATAATTTAAAATAAGATAGACAGAAAAATTATGAAAATATGATTTATGTAAAATGAGTTTCAACGTGTTATGTCTATGGACGATGATCCATACTTACCCTAGCTTACCTCAGGAACACCAAGGAATGGTTGGAATGGTTTGAATCTGGATGCAAACGTGAATACGACGGTGCACGTTTATGGAGAGTTTTTGATATTTGAAACCCTAGTGTCAAGGCTCTGGCTGCATGGTCTCTAGGTCTGACTTTGTTGTATATATGCAGTGGGCAAGATCAGGTCAACATGTATGGAAAAAATCTAAAGAATAAAGGCATGGTTTTAAGAGGAAATCAAATCTTGAAAACCTTCCAAATATGGATATTTTGTGTCCATTCTTGGCTTACACGATTTGCCTTCCATTATATAGCTTGTATCCTCATTCTTTAATGCAAAATCATCCCAAAATAATTTTATATATTTATTTGATTTAATTTGAACTTTAAATGATTAAAAATCAAAACAAACCAAATAAATAAGAAAATGATGAATGGAGGGGTTTATGAGTCGTGGACCATGTTAGGAACAAGATGCAAGCATAAAAAGTTGAGCCCTTTTGAAGAAAAATGCATTTTTGGCATGGTTGACTTTGTGCAAATTATCAAAAATGGTCAACGTTGACAATGCATATCTTTCTCAATTTTGACCCTAAGAGAGTGTTCTTAGACTTTTTAGAAAGCTTATGATGTCCTCTAAACAAACCTTTTAATTACATCTCAATTGGATCTTCCATGTTCATGTAAGGAGCTTTGACCCAAAATGTGTTTTTGTTGACTTTTTGAAATGACCTATAATGTCTGAATTCATATCTTTCCATGAGTGCATTTTTTGAACTTGAGGGATGAATATGAGTTGTAGAGAATTGCATCGTATTCAAAATGAGTCTTGGATGGGGAATTTCTGATAAAGTATGAGAAAGTTATGCCTGGTCAAAGTTAGGCCTTGGCATCGTATTCAAAATGAGTCTTGAATATGAGAAAGTTTCTTATTTTTGAAGTAAAAGGTGATTTTGACAATGCCAAGGCCTGTACATGCCTTCTCATTAGCTGCACATAGTTGGTGTACTTTGCCCCAAGTTTGTGGACTTTGTTTGCTGCAAGAGGTTGGGTCCAATGATCAAGAGAAACAAAATTTCCAAAAGCTAACTTTATGGAAATGACATTGTGATCTTTTTGCCAAAAATGGAATAAACCTTTGTATAATGCTCTAAAGCTCAGAACAAAGATTTAATCTAATGTGTTTGCATTTAATTTATGAGTGCAGAAATGATTAGAACCTGTAAACCAAGTACAAGCAAGGTTTGGACAGATTTGCAACTTGTATCAATGTGCAAAATGCCTTGGCCAAAAGTGATAATTTGCCATTTTCAAACTTTCGATTCTCCCTAACCATGAATGATCTTGGAGAGTTCTTGGACATTTTGGAAATCTTGTAACATGATATACAATCCATATTTGAAATGAATTTTGAGATTCTACTTGGAACTAGGTGAAAAGTTGTCATGCAGATAGGTCAAAATCCTGCCTAAACTAGGGCAAAATTTCACTAAGTTAAAAGTTTCATGAACCATTATTCACAAAATCATAACTTGAGATCCTAGCATCTTTTGGGAAAACTTTGTGAATAAAAGTTGTAGAGTTTGTGGAGGACTACAACTTTCATGTTGGAAGTTTCCTTTGAATCCAATTGCATCATGGTGAAAAAGTTAGGCAAAGTTGGGAAAAAATAAGAAATTTTCATAACTTAGAAAATTTCTAAGTTATGAAAATTTTCCATTTTAAACCCTAATTTCCAAAATTAGGTTTCTTGGTGAACAAGTTTCATGTTTTGACACATCTTGATTAAAAATGACCCTTGGCACTTGATTTTGACCAAAAAGTCAAAGTTTGACTTTTCAGTGTACAGTTGATTTTTGATGAGTTGACTGGAAAATTCATCTGTCAATCTAATGCATTTGAGATCTTTTGAACCTTGTGATTAGGTCAAGATGATGCCATTGAGTCCTTGAATCCATGCTTGAACCCAATTTTCCATTGGCTAGGTTAAAAATCAGAAATTTCCCTTCTGCAGTCAAAACTATAAAAATGACCATTTTGCCCTTTTGATGATCTGATCAAATTTCTTGAGGAGTTGTGGTCCAAACTTGATCAAATGGTTCATATGAGTCTATAATGTTGATGTGGATCAAAAATTATGAGGTTTGACTGTAAATTGACCACAATTGACTTTTTCCCCAATACAACTGATTTTTAGGTCAACTGTCCAATTGATTGGGCAAAATTTGATTCAAGGCTTGAAACTTGGTATGAGAAATCTTAGGATTCCAACATGAAGTATGAAAGTCACATGGGGCATTGGAAGTCCAAAAATCCCTGTGCAAACTCAAATCCTAATTTCAGGTCAACAGTGCAAGGAGATGTCTTGAGCTGAGCAAACCCTAATCCTGTCTGGAGTCTAAAGAGTCTTGTGAGGAAAATCTTGGCAAAAATGAGAGGGAAAACTTTGGTGTACAACAGGTACCAACAAACAAATTTATCCACGATCTAATTCTCTAAAGATTTATTCGTCTAAAACAAACATATTTTACTCATCCATCTAGTCATTGAGCATTTCTTCAATTCAAAAAGTTTGACATTTAAGGAAGAATAACCCAACATAAATCCTTCGCTCGAATTTATTTGTTCTCATGTTCGATCCCTACATCAATAGAATTTTATCTTCTACATCTACAAATACTTGTTATACCATATAACTTCATTAATTATATCCTAATATACAATATTAGGTCCTTCTCAATATTAACTTTTTAGGTACTTATCAGTCGTATACGTCCATTTACATCCATATATGCTCCAATTTCCACAGTAGCAACATATTTTTAATAACCAATAAACTTCATCATGTCTCATCCTGAACTCTCTTGGAAAGCCAGTCGCCCCAGCGTCGCCGAGAGAGCAAGGCAACGGTGGAACCAATCGCACCATTCGCTGGGTGAACATCAGGAGAGGAGGTGGCTAGCAGAGCGCTAGAAGATTGTCGGGCGAGCATCAAGCGAGCAGTCTAGAAGTAACTTTTTAAAATACCGTAACTTGAGTTTCAAGACTCTGTTTGATGTGTCGTTCGAAGTGTTGGGAAGCTAACACACAAAACTATATTATGATTGAATTATATAAGTTGTTTGATGTATGATTCTAGTACCTATATGTTTATGAGATTGAGCTATTATATGTTTGATATGTTAATATGTTCTATTTGAATGACGAGTTTGATGACGATGTGAAGTTGCTATGATGTTATTGTTGTGATGTGATTGATGTTATCCATGATGATGTTTTGATGATGTGCATGTTTAATGTTTATACATGCTATGCGATGACGATTATGTGAATGATGATGCAATTGACCAGCCGTGGTCGAATTTTATATGATGTTCTTATGCATCATATATTCATAACATTTTTGGATGGTGGTCCGCTTGTGACGAGTCTCAATCCTATTGTACCAATTGAGTGCATTTGTTATGTGCTCCAATTCCAAGAGGGAATCGATCCTACGGTGGGGATCATGGAGGGTGATGAATCAGGTGTTTATAAATTTTGGTACCACATGCATTGAGTCAGTATTTTTTGCATTGACATCCTATGTGACATTTCATGAGTTTTAGTTGATGAGTTGTGATGCGATGATGATTGTGAACTATGTGATTATTTGATGATTTTGATGATGAAAGATGTCTAAGTGATATTATTATGTATCAGTGAGTATGAAGTGTTGATTATATGATGATGTTGTATATAATTACTAATCTTTTCCTTATATCTTTTATAATGAATTGTGATTACTCACCATTTCTGTTTGAATGTTGCCTCCACGTGGATAACACGCAGATACTCAAGAGTAGCTTGCTGAAGTATCGAGGATAGAACTTTGAAGTATTTTATTTAGTTTTCCATTAATTAGAAGATGTATTTCTCTAATATGTAACGAGTTAGGAACACTTTAATTTGATGTTATGTTCCTTTTATTGACATACTATATGAAGGCTTTTTTATTGTTAAAGTAGTTTTTAATTACAACCTTTGATGAGGCGAAAATACTAATAGTTTTGATTTATGAAGGAGTTCTTTTATGCTGATGATTCCGTTGCGATGTTAACAATTTAGATGATGTGTTGAATTATAAAGATATTGATGTTAATGATGTAACCCATGTTACGGAGCAGGATTATTAATGTGATATTTTCTATTAAGTGTGACACCCTTGAGTGGTTATTTATTTGAATTATTCCGTAAGTTATATGAGAAATACACGTGGGGTTAGAAAGGTGCTACATGGTCTATATTGTATTATAGATTCAACTGATATTTTTAGAAGTGAAAGCTTTCATCTGAAGAAGCCTATATTGCTTCGAACCCATACTTCGAAAGTTCCAACACTTGTGACCTCCACAAGGTGATGCAAATATGCCTTTAAGAGTAGTAATGTAAGTAATTGCCATAAAGGATAACAATGATTATTTCACGAGGATACAACATGTAATAACCTCGAGGGGCAATGAAGATTCCTTCACAAGAATCTATCCTGTAATCACCTTGAGGGGCAGAAAAGATCCCTTTGTGAGGATCCAACATGTAAACGCCTTAAGGGGCTGCAAGGATTCCTTCATGAAAATCCAACATGTAAGGAGCGGTAAGGATTCCTTTGTAAGGATCCAATATGTGATTGCCTCAAGGGGCGACAAGGATTCCCTTGTGAGGATCCAATATGTAATTGCCTCAAGTGGTGGCAAGGATTCCTTCATGAAGATCCAACATGATAGCAAGGATTCCTTCGTGATGATCTAACATATTCAATAACCTTTAAGGCTATCTCGACAAGATTCCTTTACTTTTTGACATCATGCATGTGAATCAGGAATAATCTAAAACTCATATAAATAAAGTAAGGGCCTCATTGAAAAGCGAGTGCCAACCCCACGGAAATATTATCTTTACAAAAAATGGTCGAGAATATAACTCGCCTAAACAAATTAAAACAACAAGTAATAAAAAATAAAACAACAAATAATATGAAGTGGATGAGGCTTATCGTCTTAGCAATCATCCCTTGACAAGGGTTCTTTTTTCGTAGCCTTTATGCTCGCCTCATCTAGAATAGTCAAACATCATTCTACTGGAGCTTCCCCTGATAACTTTACCTCTCCCTTCACGCCCACGACGTTCACACCTACTATTCTAACTTTCTTCTACTTCAAACTTTCTACATATCACTTTTTGGCAATCTTCTAGTCCTCCTAAATAACATCAACTCGTCCATTTAAGAACAAGTACTTCATACATAAATACATGATAGATAATATGGCCTCTAACTAGTTAAAAGAGGGTCGCCTTATGATCATATTATATGAGGAAGGCGCATCAGTGATACTTATGCAATCATATTATATGAGGAGAATATATTAATGACTAGATGTCTTATCTTGACTTGTATGATGCTTTCTTCTACTCTAAAGATGGTATTCAATAATACGCAACCTTTCACATGTAGACAAATAGTTGAATAATTGAAGAGATATTTTGATTAAGTATATTTTATGCACATGATTATGAATTTGAGTTTGCTTATCACTATATATGTTTATCATATCAATAACAAAAAAAATTTTTTTTTTAAATATTTTTAAAATTAAAAAATTGCGATTGAAAATAAATTGACATCAGATTAAATTATGAATGAATTAAAAAGATAAGTGAGAATATTTAAATAAAAAAGATATGTAATATATAAGTGAGTAGACATAAATTGTTTAAAAAAAGACATGAATTGTTGTATTATTACAAAAGTTGAGAGAAAATGTGATTAACAGTTTTATAGAATTAGAAAATTTGATAGAAGATAATTTTAATTTTATATATTAATATGTGAGAAGATATAATAAATTACAAATTTATTGGATGGAGAAAAAAGTGTGTAATATACATATTTGAAAAATTGAAAGATAAGATAATTTTATTAAAGAATGAATACCTAGAAAAGCTGAAAAACTTGGCTTAATTCTTAAGAAAATAAAAGTAACTTTTAGTCTTTAAATATTTACTTTCTTTATATTTTGTATGACCGATAAAGAAAAGGAATACAAAATAAATAAAAAATGGCATGATAACTTAATAATTTAGTATGCCACAAATAAAAATACCATTATTTTTAATAATTATAAAGTGACATAAGTGTCCTTAAATAAAACTTGGATACAATATAAGTATTTCGTTGCCATCAACCAAAAATTATAAAATAAATCTAAAAAGTAAGAAAATATTATCACAAGTATAAGTTAATATTTCAATTTAATCAATAACATTATTATTATATAAATTAAAAAATAAAAATAGTTTAGAAATACTTCTCCCCCATCTAAATACCATGAATAACTATCATTAAATGGACCTCGTTAGATAAAAAAAGAAAAGTCATTTTTATTCTTTTTATTTGTTTGCCATTATATTTTATAATTAAAAAAAATACTGTAATTAAGAAGAGTAAACATGAAGCTAAAATATTTAAATAAAAAAAAAGTTTCTTTCATTAAAAGCCACACTAAATATAAATCTAAAAACCCACCACTTCAATAAAAGTTCAAATACTATAATAATAAATTTTAAGCTCCTAAAATAAATTACTTTCAGCAATATAAATTCATTTTTCTCACAGACAATAGTAATAAATACACTAACTTGAAAAAGCAAAACCATTAAATACTAACTCTTACAAACAAACAACTCATCTTCCCATGTAAATATCAAAACAACTAAAACCAATCTATCGTTAATTGATTGACGTTGAATTTAACAGAAATAATCACGATTCAATCTTTCACAACTGTAATCGAGAGAATTCACGGTGTTAAAAACCAACCAAAAAAAAAGTGAAACCAAACCTCATTCCTTAAACCGCTTTCTTAAAACCACTTTTCTCCCGACCAATCACAACACGCCACGTCACATTAACAACCAAACACTTCACTCCAGTTTTCTCCCACTATACTCATTTTCAGCAAATGCAGAGGGAAAAAAAAGGAACGGCCCAGATTTTCCGGTAAACGCAAACTTTTATGTAAGCGCATCTTACGATGCCACGTGGTAAGGTTCACTAGTGATAACTCTAGGACTCTCAACACTATATTATTGGTTCTTCACTTTACTCTAAACACATTCACAATTCACAAAACAGAAAACTCTAAGTTTCTAAGTGTCGCTGTCAACGGCGGAGAACCACTGCCGGAAAATTCTCCGACGGTAGTTCCGATTTGGTGCTTCCAACTTGTTCAAATTCATGAACTGATTGTAAATTTAATCATTCATTTCAAATTTCTCATTCTAGTTTTTTTATTTTATTTTATTTTTTATATTTATGATTAAATTTATGATTGAATTGATTTTGATTTTGTTGTAGATTTTGATTTGGTGAAGTGTAGTTGATCGAGATTGAAGTGAAATCGTTGAAATCGTTGAAATCAAAGAGATATGGTAAGTTTCTAAGTTTGAAGAAATGTATTTGTTTCATGCAGATGAGGTGTTTGATGATATGTGATTTCATTGTTGTCTGTTTTTTTTTTTTGGTTGATGAGCTTTGAGTGTAGAGTGTAAAGTAATAGTATATACACTTTCTATGTTTCTTAGTTTATATTTTTGATCTTGTTTTTTTTTTTGAAGAGTGGGTTGAATTTTATACATTTATTTTAGAATTGAAATCTATGAAGCACGGACACCCCGAATAAGATCCGAATACGACCCTGACACTGACACAACGACACTGGTAATAATTTGAGAAAATTAATAAGTTAAACGTAATCGCAAGTGTCGGTGGAAGTGTTTGATATCGACACAGACATGGACGCACCTTTTTTGTTTCGGTGCTACATAGGTTGAAATAGATTGGAAGCTGTCATGTGTAGTTGTTGATTTGGGGATTTCTTGATTTAGCAGAGTGAGGAATTTATGAGTGATAGTATAAACTTTCTATGTTTCTTTATTTCTATTTTTGATGTTTGAATTTGATACATTAATTTTAGAGTTAACATAGATTGGGAGATGTCATATGGAGTTGACGATTTTTTAGTTTACTTAATTAGTTTGTGAAGGTTTTCTTGATTTAGCAGGGTGGAGAATTTATAAATAGTTCTATGAAATTTAATTTTGATGAGTTATTCATTTACTAATTAGGATGAAGTTTAAAGTTATATCACTTTGGTAATGTGTTGGAGCTTATGATCCTCTGTCTAAAAGTAAATTGGTTGGTTTTAAGTAAAATTTGGATTAAATAGGAGAGATCTTGATGTTTACAGTAGAAGAAAAAATATGTGAAAAACAAATCAAGAGAGATAGGGAGGTGAAAGTTAGAAGTGTTAGAACTTTTGAGAGTCTTAAAACATATTTAGATAAAGAGAAACCACATAAGTGAATTTAGATACAATTTTTTTACTGGAAATCTTAAAGTATTGGCTATATGGGTCCTCTCACTTATAATCTGTGTAGCACCGACACCTATGAACAAGGCGTGTCTGTTCCAACACAGTGTCAGACATCGACACATCACCGACACTTGTGATTATGTTCAATTTATTCATTTTTTTCAAATTATTATCGGTGTCGACGTATAATGTCGGTGTCCATGTCTATGTTCGTGCCTCTAACTTTATTTTGATGAAAAATCCTTACTGTATTGTTTCTATATAGTGCTTTTAATTGGAAGTTAGATTGTTTTCTTTCAATTTAGGAGAGTTGTCTGGAGATTCATGAAACCGATACTTCAATAAATGTGTTTTATTCTTCTTGTTAATTCTTTTAATGTCTTACTTGATGGTGGATTTGTGATTTTTGTCTGTTAAGCATGTTATTTTTTTAATACACTTCCAATGTTTCTTGGTTTTTTTTAAGCATGCATTGAATTTTATACATTAGTTTTAGAGTTATTAAATTATTTACTTATTGTGATGAGGGACAATGATTCTGTATCATTTAGGCGAGAAAGATAGAATAAATTTACGCAAAATTTAGAAAAAATAGGAGAGATGGAGATATTTAAAATGGAGAGAAAAATGTAATAGAAGCAAATCAAGAAAAAGAATGCAAATCCTACTCATTAGCTAGTTTTTATACTGATTCATACTATTTTATTTTAAATGCGGAATGTTAACACGGGGATGATTATAATTTGACTTGTTTGTGTGCATGTTCGAAGTGGACTCCGACATTACTTTTGATGAAAATTCCTTAATCTGTCATTTCTCTACAATGCTTGAAATTGGATGTCAGATTTCGTTCTTTCAATTAAGAAAATTTGGCAGAAGATTCATAAAATAGATACTTCAATAAATGTGTTTCATTCTTGTTGTTAAATTCTTTCAATATCTTACTTAATGGTGGCTTTGTGATTTTTGTTTATTAGGTATATATTGTTTGGTTTAACTAATTTATGGCTTATAACCTGGTTGTGTAATGTCTTATTTAATATGTATCGGCAGAATCTATACTCAGATAAATCTCATAAGTTAAGCCTTCTACACTATAATTTCTTTTTCCAGTCTTTTCAGAACAAAGGCTTCTGGATGCCCCGGGATGCTGGCTGCATAGCTGAAGAAAGTGTTGGATATGAAAATTCTTCAAGAGTCGAACCAAAGAGAAGTCACCAGTGGTTTACAGATACAAGTGAACCAGAAATATTTAGCAACAAGAAACAAGCAGTTGAAGCTAGTAGTGACATGCCGGTTTCAACAACGAATGTTAATGTTTCTCACTGGGACACTAGTTCAGGATTTCACTCGGTGACCGGCCAATTTTCTGACCGTCTCTTTGGATCTGATCTTATACGGTCTGTCAATTCAGTTGATAACAATATGTCGTCAACTGGAAGTGGAAATCTGAACATCGGAGGAAGGAAGAATTTTGTTGGTTATCAATATGGTCATGATCCATCTGTTGGACTGTCAGCATCACCCTCCTCATTAGACCCTTTACCATGTCTGAATTTTGGTGGTATTAGGAAAGTTAAAGTTAATCAAGTCAGAGATTCTGACCATGGCATGCCAGCTGATAACACTACATTTTCAATAGATGGCAATATTACATCGGGCCCATCTTATAGCGATGGAAGTGACAACACCGTTGCTTTAGGGATAAGCAAGCCTGATCACAATCTCCTTGCAATGGGTCACATCTTCAATAAAGGGGATGGGAATTTTATGTTGATGGGTCAAAATTATGGAAAGGGAGATGAAAGTATTTTATCGACGGGTCGGCCCCTTGAAAGAGGCGACGGAAATTTCATAACAATGAATCAGTCATTCGGGAAGGAGGATGGAAATTCGATGTCTCTGGGGACCTCATATTCCAAGGAGCATGAGAGCTTTACATCAATGGGTCTAACCTCTGGTAACTCGGGAGAAAATTTCACAACTGTTGCTCCTTCCTATGATAATGGCACCAATCATTTAACATCAATAGGTCCGGCATATGTTAGTGTGGATTCAAACGTTTCTTCGACTAGTCCATCATTTGTCAGCAACAACTCTAACTTTTTAACTGCAAGTGAAAACCTCGGTAACAGCAGTACCGTGTCTTTTGGAGGTTTTCATGCTGGTGGCCCTGAGCCAAATCCCTCCGGCGGAATCATTAACAGATTTGATCCTTTGACGGGCAACCAAAACTCAGCTCGAGTTGTGGATAGCCTGATTGAATCAAACCCTAATCCACTTCTAAATAACGTTTCAAAATCTAATGCTAAAAGTAATACCGTTGTTAAGAACAAAGAACCAAAGACGGCCAAGAAGGCTTCCAACAACTTCCCTTCAAATGTCAAAAGTTTGCTGTCAACTGGTATTTTTGACGGCATTTCGGTGAACTATTGTACATGGTCAAGGGAGGTAAAATATGTTTTAACTTTATCTTGTATTCTTGTCTTACTTTTGAGCTATTGTAGTTGTTTCTACTAAGTTTTCAAAACTCGGCAGAGAAATCTTCAAGGAATCATAAAAGGAACGGGCTACATGTGTTCATGTGACGACTGCAAGGGACAAAAGGTTAGCATTCTTAAATCGCTTACATTCTAATAGTCTCTGCATAATCCTAGCAAAAGTGCTCATGTATTCAATTATGTCATGAAGGCTCTTAATGCTTATGAGTTTGAGTGTCACGCTGGAGCCAAGTCAAAACACCCTAACAGTCACATATTCTTTGAGAATGGAAAATCCATCTATGCTGTTGTTCAAGAACTGAAAAACACTCCTCAAGAGGCGCTTTTTGACGCGATTCAAACTGTGACAGGTTCCACCATCAACCAAAAGAACTTTCGTATTTGGAAAGGTAAGTAGAATTTTCAAGTCAACATAGATTGTTCAATCTTTTCTACTTTCAATTTTAATCTGATTTTTTCCCCCCTTTTTAGCATCATATCAAGCTGCTACTCGTGAGCTTCAGCGCATCTATGGAAAGGATGATGCCGTCATACCATCTTAAGTTTGGAAGAGTGGTAGATATGTAACTTATTCCTGTATATGAATGGCAGCTTAAAAGATGAGTTAATAATTGGAAGTTTTTTAATTGGTTTTAGTTGTAAGAACTTATGTTTTATTTATGAAAATAAAGATGTGTATTTTATTGTCCAGTGTCATTGTTTCTCTCACAAATCATCTTTTTTTATTGAATTCCTTTGTGAATATCCATTCAATATTAGTATGACTGTATATTTTTGCTGGTAGCAACTCATCCCATTCATTATGTTGAAGAAAGAATGGTGTGAAAAGATACTAAGCTTTTGTGTTTGGATTAGCTGATACTGAGTGAGTTTCGTTCTCTTGTAACATTCTTACGAAATCTTACCTAAGAATAACAAATCATGGAATGGCAAACAAAAATTAAAAATTCCTGGTGTTATACTGTAAAAAAAAAGTTGAGGTTATGTGGCTCCATAACATGATTAGAACTAGTGCTAAAGGGGACTTTTATTGGTGAAGATTAATTAGGCTTTGTTTCATAAAATATAACTAATACTAGTCTAATAATACATAGAAAAATAGATTATAAGAGGTTATAGTTCATAAGTTATTTGATAATTGAATGAATTTGTGACATTGTATCGGGTCTATAAGAGAAGTAGGCCATGGATAAAGCAGCCCAAGAGAATTATATTAGGAGAATTTATTTTTCCACTTTGGTGTCTTCTTGTAAGTCTCTAGCGAAAAACCCAAAATACCTCTAGATTTCGGATGTGCATATTCGAACTCACCTTATTTTTCAAAAATAGGTGTGTTTGCATGTGCGTATCCGAAGTCTAGAGGTATTTTGGGTTTTTCGCTAGAGACTTACAAGAAGACACCAAGGTGGAAAAATAAATTCCCCTGATATAATTCTCTTGAGTTGTTTTATATTCGAACTCACTTTATTTTTCAAGAATAGGTGTGTTCACATGTGCATATCCGAAGTCACCACGATTCATTTTTTATTAAATTGACTTCTGCAAATGCATATTTGAAGCCACCCGATTGTCTATTTCAGACACGCATATCTGAATTTATCTCTGGGACAGAAGAATCAACATAATTTAACATAATTCATAACATATATTCAACATAATTCTTCGAAATTACATATATAGTTCTACAGAAATTTAAAATTACATATTGTTATAAGCAAATAGTTGAGTACGTTGTAACATTTTGATAACATCTTCTCCTAATCTTTGAAGTTTCGCATCCACCTCAATCGGACCCTTAGAAGAGTATCGTTGAAAAGTACCCCACACAACCTCTAAATCGTCGTCGTTCTTAAACTTAAACGGATGAACTTTACGTTTCCTTCAGTGTCAAGTGAAGGTGAATGATACTCAAGCTTGACCACCTTTCGATTATATGAATATTGCAAAAGAGAATTCAGTATAATTCATTGCTTAAATTTAAAATGGATCTTTCTTCGACTTCTTCCTATTTATTTTTCTCTCTCAAGGTCCATCAATTTGGTGAACTCCACCATCCTTTCAAAAAAGGGATCCCGCCAAGTTTCTGCCTCAATTGTGGAATATGTTGTCCATTGGCATGATGTACCCGGAATAGGACATTCCGGTTTCAAATGCACCAGAACAAAATGGTGCCATCTAAGATAATTGATATAAATGATGCGGCCGAACGAGTCTTTAGGTAGGCGACTTCGAAGTAGGAAAAATGTCTTCGAAAATCCAAATCTCGTCAAATCGACACACACCTTCTCATACACACTTGATATAAGATGATCCATCTCAGGAAAGGACATCCACTTTGCAAATGTCTAACCTAGTCCGTCCAAGCACATACAACTTTATTTTTCACCTGATCAAGGATATTAGATTCAACATTGTAGCGGTAGAAATATTGAGACTAAGCCATTGTATTGATTTGACTTGCACAGATCAAAATAAAAATCTTCACTATGCTTTATTGTTTTCAAGGGAATGAGAAAAGAGTGAATAACCCAAAAAAAGAGGGAGAGAATCTAAGTTCGGGGGTTGGTTATGCAAAGGGAAGGTATTAGCACCCTAAACATCTATGGTACTCTGTAGGAATCTCTTTGTAAATCTTTGTATTTTGGCTATAAATGTTGTATAAAATAATAAATGGTGGAGATGAGGAAAGAAGTATTTTTTATAATTTTTGCACCCGTCGCGGTTGCGAACCTTTAGTGCCTACGTACCACCTTCTGTGCAATAGGGGATCAGAGTACTCGTAGTTCATCTTTTAAAAAAAAATTTAAAACACAAGTGAGTTGGTTAAATTTTAAGAGACGGGACGTCATCGTCATTATCCGAGTGGAAAACATACTTACTACCCACAATTATTAGAAAGGAGAATTTGCGTCATCTCAAAGTGGAGGATATGGCTTGGATTTTAAAATCAACAAAGCCTCACTCAACACCCAAGTGAAAAATATCTCACTTCACTATATATCGTAGAAGTATAGTAGCTCGCATCTCTTACAAGGATTGACAAGAGTCTATCTTTTGAGAAAATTTTAAAGTAAAAAGCTAAAATGGAAAAATGGTTTGAATGAGATTGATTGAATTTTAATATTCTCACAAAAATGTCAAGGTATTGTTAAGTTGATTAAAGTTCGATTAAGAAAATATTTTAAAAAAATGCACGGACCTAAGTCCAAGTTTATTGTGAAAGCGGTTCAAGTTTTAAAAACAAGAAAAATTTTCAAAAGGAGGGAGAAGATTTTTGAAATTAAAGAAGATAGGAGGATATGAAGGGACTATCCTAAAACATAAGGTAAAAGCTAGGAAAAAGAACCATCTAACCAACAAGAAGCCAACACTTAACACAATGAGTCAATATAGAATTCTCATCCTTTGAATTTCAGACCAAACAAGCAAAGATAATAAACCTCTTAAGAAAACCAAACTTCAATTGCATTAAGTCTTCACAAAAATTGGGCAGAGTAACAGTTGTATACAGATGAATTCCCGATCACAGACAAAACATATAATCACAGTAACCTGCACACAAAGTAAACAAACAAACAACCCAATATCTTAGAGTAAACCCCAAGAACTCCAGACAAAATAACAATTGAGGTCACAAGGTCACAACTTCTAATCCTAAGTCTAAGAAAAGTATTTTTAAATATTTAAAATAATTCAAATAAAGTAAAAAATTATAAAAAATATCAAAACACAAAATAAAATTGTGAAAAAATAATAATCAGAAAGAGAAAAATCAAAAGTATTTTTCATAATTTTTTCATATTTTTTGAAGTTAAAATGAATTTTCTATGATTTTTTGAAGTTTAAAACAATTTAAATATAAAAATCAGAAATAAAAATAAAGTCAAAAAAATATGGACCAATGGATGAGAGTCAAAACGCGTTAGTAAGCTAATCCAATGGATTAGACGCGTTGTGCATATCATGGTCTTTAGTGAATAAAGCATGAAATCAATTATTTAAATCATATTTAAAAAAATGCGTGGCACGGCTTCATTGGTTGATAGATGACACAGTGGTGATCTTCAACCTCCAGCCAATGAATCTGCAGGTTCCAGAAACTATAAAATTAGAACACGAGACCGGTACCATCCAATTCGTCTCTTCAAGACGATTCCAATGGTACCTTCGCGAAAAATTTATATAAATTGTAGTTCATTCGTTTTTGAAAAGAAGTTCTGAAAAGAGATTTTAAATTGCATGTCCAAAACGTACTTCCAGATGAAAACAAGTGCTGCAACTAGAATCAAGATGATGAGAGCTTCATAACAATATCAAAGTTTGAGAGAATTGGTGAAGGAATCTACCTATTGAAGTTAAGTTGTAGAGCTCTGAAACAGGACTTGGCTAGCACGATTTAAGAAGTCTTAGAGCTTAATTCTTCTTCTGTTAGTTTCACTGATATTCAAGGAAGGTGAATTAACAAAGAAAAATGATTGAGAAAGGCTGTAAGAGCAAATTCGAAGTTGCAGAAAATGGAGTTCAAGAGGAAATTTGGCAGGGTGATTTTGGCTCTCTAAGCTTGAGAAAATGAATGAGGTATGATCCCTATTTATAGGGAAGCTGATTGAGTGCTCAAGTGTGTGCAATGATAAAGTTTGGAGGGAAATCGTGTGAAGTTGCAAACAAGAAAAATCTGACTTCTAATTTGATCAAAAATCATCCAAACCTTGCATTTTAATATGCTAATCACTTCTGGAGGTTCACTACACATGTTTAGAAGCAAAAGTGCACAGAAAAAAACGTGTTTAGAAGCTAAATCAAGGATTTCAAATTCTGACTTTTGAAGAAACTTCAGTTTCAAGTTACCAAGTTCAAATCAATGGCATTCTCAGCTCAAAGAGTCTTAGGACATGATTCTTGAAGCTTTAGAAAGATGAGATCATAAGCTTTACAATGTTAAAAGAATGGAATAAAATGGATGCTTGAGCTGAAAATTGTGGCGAGTCAAAGTTGAGAAAAAGAGGTTGACTTCTGTACTTAGAAAAATTCAAAGTTTTTTTTCTTCAAAAATGACTTATAATGTCTTACATCCAAACATGGCCTTACATTTGAAATTTGCTCTTAACCAAAAAAGATGGTATGAAGTAGATCTCTTGAATTACATTTTGAGACTTGAACCATTTAAAATCTCCAAAAAATGAGAAAGTTATGACTTGTTGAAATTGGGAAAAATTCATAAAATGACCTATAATATTTTGCATCCTTAAGGCATCTTCCATTCATTTTCACACTTTGCACTTAAAAGAAGGGTTGAAGTTCAGATCTTTAAGATCAATATGGAAAAATAATAGGCTCAAGGTGATAAAAATTGACCAAGTTATGATCTTTTGAAGTCACATAAGGGAATTTGATGGCCTATCTAGAGGACTTGTAATCTTTCTCAATCATTAGGCATCTCACATGAAATTTTATTGAAACTTTTGAAGTGATTTGTTGATAACCCTTTAAAGCGAAGAATGTATTTGGAATAACTAAAAAATACCAAAATATTAGTAAGCTA